AGATCTGAGGTCGTTGTTTTCATCGTTTTTTTTTTTCTTCCGCTTCCACTCGGCGCCGGTTGGCGGTATTTTACAGAGCGTCCAAACACGACTTCCTCTTCCACCGCGTACGTGTCTCCACTGAATAATGAAAAAACTGTCAGATATTTGATAAGAGAATTTTTTTTTTTTTTGGGCCTCAGTCACAGCCAACGCTTCACAACGTGGAATATATCCAGCGGTGACATTTCCTTTCATTCCACGTCGTGGTTACTTTTCCCGCCTGCAGGCCTTTTGTCACACACACGCAAACATGAAAGGCAGATTACACACCTGCTCGCCCGCACGCAGGAGAAATATCTAATCTCCTAGGATCAAATCTGCCAAAGGAAAAGTTTTTAAAAAATAATAAAAAAAATAAAAATCCTCCACCAGCGAACAAAGAGTTTCACTCCAAAAACTTTATAGAAATCTGGAAACGGGAAAAAATGAGAACCCGGGGAAAACAAAGTATTTACTTAGCGGCAGCAAATGAGGAGAGCGGCGCCGAACTGCGAAAAAGTTACAGACTGACGATCCACCACGAGGACGTAGACGAGCGCTCACCGCTGAGGACGCTAACTGCCGATTAGCAGAAAGCCTCAGAGACGCCACGTACGAGACGTCTCCCGCTCCATCTCATATATAAATATATGTATATATTTATATATATATGTAACAGGAATTTAATATATATGTTCATATACATACATACATATATATGTATATATGAACATATATTTAATTCTTGTTACATATACATACATATATATAAATATATGTATATATTTATATATATATGTAACAGGAATTTAATATATATGTTCATATACATACATACATATATATGTATATATGAACATATATTTAATTCTTGTTACATATACATACATATATATAAATATATGTATATATTTATATATATATGTAACAGGAATTTAATATATATGTTCATATACATACATACATATATATGTATATATGAACATATATTTAATTCTTGTTACATATACATACATATATATAAATATATGTATATATTTATATATATATGTAACAGGAATTTAATATATATGTTCATATACATACATACATATATATGTATATATGAACATATATTTAATTCTTGTTACATATACATACATATATATAAATATATGTATATATTTATATATATATGTAACAGGAATTTAATATATATGTTCATATACATACATACATATATATGTATATATGAACATATATTTAATTCTTGTTACATATACATACATATATATAAATATATGTATATATTTATATATATATGTAACAGGAATTTAATATATATGTTCATATACATACATACATATATATGTATATATGAACATATATTTAATTCTTGTTACATATACATACATATATATAAATATATGTATATATTTATATATATATGTAACAGGAATTTAATATATATGTTCATATACATACATACATATATATGTATATATGAACATATATTTAATTCTTGTTACATATACATACATATATATAAATATATGTATATATTTATATATATATGTAACAGGAATTTAATATATATGTTCATATACATACATACATATATATGTATATATGAACATATATTTAATTCTTGTTACATATACATACATATATATAAATATATGTATATATTTATATATATATGTAACAGGAATTTAATATATATGTTCATATACATACATACATATATATGTATATATGAACATATATTTAATTCTTGTTACATATACATACATATATATAAATATATGTATATATTTATATATATATGTAACAGGAATTTAATATATATGTTCATATACATACATACATATATATGTATATATGAACATATATTTAATTCTTGTTACATATACATACATATATATAAATATATGTATATATTTATATATATATGTAACAGGAATTTAATATATATGTTCATATACATACATACATATATATGTATATATGAACATATATTTAATTCTTGTTACATATACATACATATATATAAATATATGTATATATTTATATATATATGTAACAGGAATTTAATATATATGTTCATATACATACATACATATATGTATATATGAACATATATTTAATTCTTGTTACATATACATACATATATAAATATATTTATATATATTTAAATATATTTTATATACATATATATATATATATAAATATTCCGTATTTTTTAGAAAATTCTCTGGGTAAAAACTGCTGCTCCTTAAACTACTGTCAAAGTTCCTGTTTGAACGTCAGTTTTGGAAACACCCCGACAACACCAGGTGCCGCTGACTTCCTTCAGTCGTCTCCAGTAAACACACTCCTCAGAGGGGGTGAGAGTGGAACTCACCCACAGATGAATGCAGCCTCACCCAGGGTCGCTGTCACTCAGCGCCGCTTTTTCAAAACTCCCAGTCTGAGGTGAAACGCGGTTGAAGGCTGGGACTGCGTTGACGAGTGACAGCTCGCAGCCCGGCGTACGCCTCCTCCTACAACTGCCACCTCTGAGCCCCAGAAGTGGAGAAGTTTGAGAAAGGTGCTGACAGAGTGAGTGCTGGTTTGAAAACTCCGTGGCTTCAGGCCATGGCAGCAATATTTTCTGAAATGAAGTAAAGTACCAGGAGGAGAAGAACCTCCTCTGGGCTCCAGTGTTGGGACGCTGCTGACGAGACGCGGTCCAGGGGCAACAACAGAGGGTACTTGACTAGAGTCAAAAAGTTCCAGGACAAGTACTGTCTTTTCAAAAGGTGATTCTGAAACCTAAAGCTCTCAGGTTTATCTTTGTCGAATGTTCAGCTGTGATAGGTTTTTATTATTTGATCAGTTTTGTTCCAAAACTCCCAAACGTTAGCAGGTTGGAATTCAGATCAAATTTTTTTTTATACATAATTAACAATTAAACACTGTTTTAAAGATCTATAAAGTGAAGGAACATGTGAGTGGAACTTGATGTCATTGTGCCAGATGAAGGATTTCCCAGAATTCCGCAAAAAAGGAATTCTCTCATTAGGGAAAAAACAAAAACAATGAGACATAAAATAAGTATTTGTAAAACATAAAAAGTAGCTTAAAAAAAATCGCTTTTAATTTGTCTTGGAACTTTTTGACTTCCAGTACCGTTTAGCTTCGAGGTCTGTCTCTCCATGTTGAGAAGTGATTGGAGCTGACGCCCAGAGAGAGAGAGAGAGAGAGAGAGAGAGAGAGAGCATCATATCACACTAAAACTAGGGCAACTCTTCGCTCTGACCTACATTAGCGTTAGCTCCTCGTTAGCCTTCTGTGAGGAACATATGGAGCTAACACCCATTCATCACAATCCCGTCAGTGGATACTGAAAGTTGGACCGCGGTGATGACATGACCTGCTGGTCACATGGTGCGTTCGCAGTCCGACGGCCTACGGACGGTACCGCGAATCACTGATTCGACAACACGACGGTCGTGTGTTCGCGTTTTATCTCCCCCTCTTTGTTTATGCTCTCGGGGTGAGTGTTGGTGACCTTTCACGCCCTGGAACATGGTTCTGCACCCGGCTGTTGTGTCATAGTCATATGGCCCTCGGCCCCCCCTGCCCCCCCCTGCCCCACACACACACACACACATACCCACCTCCACCCTCATCCTCCTGCTGGCAGTGCAGCTCAGCCATGACTTTCTAATCAACTTGCAGCACTTCGCTCGAAGCTCTTAATCCCCCTCCCCCTCCTCCTCCTCCTCCTCCCCCTCCTCCTCCTCCTCCCCCTCCTCCTCCTCCTCCTCCTCCCCCTCATCCTCCTCCCTCTTCCTCCTTACTCTCCTGTACAGCCGTCCTTGTGGCAGACTCTGACCTTCTCCTCACTCCGACTTCTTCACAGTCGACGCCCAGAGCGCGGCCCGGCTCAGTCCACCACGTTTAGGAAGTTGCGCCGTATAAAAGATTTAAAGACACACTCTCCGAATTAGCTGGAAGGAGACGGCGGCTCGTAAAGTTAGCTCAAGTGCTCTTTAAAGACGCGCCACTTCACATTTTAATTATGATCTGGCTGGTGGAGCAGGTTGTCCGTCGATCACAGGGTTGTAGGTTCAGTACCCGGAGCTTCAGACGTCACCGTGACATTTCCACGGCTCTGAGCCAACGCCGAGACGAGCTGAGTGGGCAGAGGGTCAGAGTTTCAACCTGAGGGTCCAGGGTTTGGACAGCGGCGGTCAAGGGAGCGGACTTATGTCCGGAAGGTTGCAGGTTTGAATCCAACTGCCACCAGGTTCCACTGAGCACGGCACCGTTACCGCACACTGCTCCACAGCCCGGATAATATCGGCCGACCGATATCTGTAAGAATACGATTCTTTTGGTTTTACCCGATAATAAAAACCCCGATAACGTTATGCCTGGGTTTCGCCAAATACACAGGAGTCACCAGTGGAGTACTGAGATGTTGGGAAAACAGCTGTATATATCGATACCGGATGATATCGGATGATATCGGATGATATCGGAATCGGAAATTAAGTGTTTGGACAATATTGGCGTAATTAAAAGACGACAAAAACAAACTCACAAACTGGTTCGTTGGTCGTTTCTCTGAATCTTGAGGCGTATTTTCGTACATCGAACACGATGAAAAATATTTCACTGACATCCATTAAAGATGAACAGAAAACAGTGGTGCGTTTATAGAGGCTGAGAGGTGGCGCTGTCTCAGCAGCATTCCATCAAGTGGATTTATGGACAACACTTGAAGCCAAAGGCACAGGGCGCCTCCTGGTGGAGGTCATCCAACAGTTTTAAAGTGGGAAGAAATATTGACGTCGTCCAGGGAAATATATGGGCTGCAATATATACACTCAGTGGTATTGACCTGGATCAGGTTCAGACGATCTCAGGTGAAGGTGTGAAGACGTGGTCTCTTCAGGTCGTTGTTTTTCTCACGATGTCGTTCTCTCTTCTTTTCTTTTCTTTTTTTCCAGACTTGCGGAGAATGACGGCGGGTTTCATGGGCATGGCGGTGGCCATCATCCTGTTCGGTTGGATCATCGGAGTCCTTGGCTGCTGCTGGGATCGGGGTCTGATGCAGTACGTGGCCGGTCTCCTCTTCCTCATGGGCGGTAAGTCTCAAAAAAAAAAAAAAAAACCCTGAGATTCAGTTTGGCCACGGCTGATGTCGTCCACTTGTAAAAAATGTGATTTTTCTGCGTCAGAATCATCCGACGTCACCATCATGAAGTTACTGTTTAGAATGTGTAACGGTGACTCGCAGAACAATTACATACTCTACCAGTAGGTGGCAGCAGGTGGCTGTTAAAAACCAAAAAAGAAAACAAAAGAAAAGCTCTTTCTTCAATTCCTGCCAGTACATCAGTGTTGTGTTCAACTAAACAGGACCAGGCTTAACACTGAGCCAGTGACTCAGTGTTGTGTTCAACTAAACAGGACCAGCCTTCACACTGAGTCAGTGAATCGAAACCTGAAGATCTTGACGTTTCCGTACTTTACGTTTGTTTGGTGGTGCACTCCGTTGATCATCTTTTATAAAACATGTGCCGTGGCTCAAAAACGGTTGGGAAACCCCGACCTAAAGGACTGGACGCGCAGCCCTAAAGAATGAATACCGACTCGTCGGTCTAGGAAGGTTAGCCGTTGAGAACAGATGAAGTCGTCCACGGACTCCTGCAGGTGAAGAGGGAGAACGTTGTGGAGAACACAGAACATAAGCTGTTCTCCTGGCGTGCGTCGTGTGGCTATTTCTGGCAATGAGGTCAGCAGTGTGGGGAGAAGAAAAGATGAAAACAATTTTCTCTGATTGTCGGTGATTAAGAGTGATGAAAATGGACTGTTCATATATACAGTACTGCCTGGTACACAGTACTGCCTGGTACCTGGTACACAGTACTCCCTTGTACACAGTACTCCCTGGTACCCAGTCCTCCCTGGTACACATTACTCCCTGGTACACAGTACTCTAAGGTACACAGTACTCCCTGGTACACAGTGGCTCTGGATCAAAAACGGCTCCTCTTTTTTTTTTTTGTTTACTAAACTGATTAGTTAACAAAACCATGTATTCAACGGGTACTCCCTGGTACACAGTACTCCCTGGTACACAGTACTCCCTGGTACACAGTACTCCCTGGTACACAGTACTCCCTGGTACACAGTACTCCCTGGTACACAGTACTCCCTGGTACACAGTACTCCCTGGTACACAGTACTCCCTGGTACACAGTACTCCCTGGTACACAGTACTCCCTGGTACACAGTACTCCCTGGTACACAGTACTCCCTGGTACACAGTACTCCCTGGTACACAGTACTCTCTGGTACACAGTACTCTCTGGTACACAGTACTCCCTGGTACACAGTACTCTTTTCAGAGACAGTGTTTCTGTGGCTCTGGATCAAAAACTGCTCCTCTTTTTTTTTTGTGTGTGTGTTTACTAAACTGATTAGTGAACAAAACCATGTATTCAACACAGGTGGAAACAGGAAACACACGTTTACACACTAACACATAAACACAAACACAAACACAAACACAAACACAAACACAAACACAAACACAAACACAAACACACGCAGCAGAGAAACAGAAGAAAATCCATGACTGAACCATCACTAATGCACAACAACACACACACACACACACACACACACACACACACACACACACAGCATGTGTCCTACTTTCTCGTGGACAGTCAGCAGTAACTTCACACTAACGTGATGTGTTTGTCATCGAGCGACAGTCAATTATAATCAGCCTCGGTCGAACGCAGTCAGAGAAACGAGCCACGGTTACAAAGTCAGGTACAGCCGTTTGGTTTTAGAAGCTCAGACTCAGAGAGAGGTCGGGCCGAGCCGGGCCGGGCCGGGTCGCGGTGCTGCAGAGTCAGAACCCCGGCTCCGGCTGTAACAGACTGATTCATATAAAAACACAGGCAGAGACTGGAGAGATTTAAAGGCAGGGATTTCAGCCTTTTATTTTCTGCCGTCGTTCAGACTCTGCAGGATCTGTTTATATCGAAGCAAAGAGAAACATTATCCAGAGGAACGGGAGACGACGAGAGAGCGTGGGGTTTTATCCCCCTTCAAAGAGCCGATCGTCTGGGGCCCCCTGCTGGGCTGAATTGTTTGTTTTCGTCGCCTCAGTCAGCTGACGTCAGAACACGGACGTCAGGGAGCCACAGTTTTCTACCGGACCAGGAAGGACTGGGTTCCTGAGTGGAACCGTTCACATGGCCACGGTTTCGAGTGAGAGATCGGCAACGGTACCAAGACGTGTTAGCGTTATTAAGCGTTAATGTCATGTGACAATCGTACGATAATGCTAGGGCATTAGGCAAGAATCCAGCGATACGATACGTATCATGATACAGGAACGACGATACGATATATTGCGATGTACTGCAAAACTACAGGTATATGCAGAGGTATATTTAGTCCGATTAACCCATGCCATTCCACACTTCCTTCTACCCCCCGAGAGAACCCCCCCACCCACCCCCGCCGACCC